ACAAACAAACAGTCATGTTAGGTATTTTTTTCAAGGTCAAACAGATATATTTTAAATAGATAGATGGTCTTCAAACAATTAAAAAACCTAGAAAATGAGGCGTTTAAGTTGTTTTAATAACATAAGGCTTTTCATAACAATGAGACACACATCTGCTCCTTGTAGCACCAATCTACTTTATAAAAAGATAATGGACATCAAAGAGTCTCTATATGGAATTTGCTTCTTTTTGGCAAAAGTTAGCCATTTGGGCAAGAACCCACCCTTACTTCAACTATTGACAGTATGCTATACAAACTGAACAAGCAGGACACCAAAAGAAAGCAATGCTGAACTTTGACAAGACAAGGTAAGATAATCTTTCAAAATTCCTGTTTTACGAAAAATGTCTGTCAGATATTCTAGGCATATAGGCTAAAGATGGGTGCCTCAGTATTACAGAGGAATCTTGGGGTGATTGTCCAGGCAGGCAGATGTCTCTATCATCTCTATAGATTTGGAAGTTGCTTGTTCTGAACTTTCTGTTTATTCAAGTAATATTTTATTATTCTCTGGTCTCCAATGGAGTTTAAAATGAGTAGCTATAGTTTTCTTTGTTACCAAATTTTAAAAAAAAAAAGACTTACAAAAGGATATAAAGTGTACTAGGTTGAAAGACAAAAGCTTAAGTTGTGTTTAAAGTATAAAAAATATTTTAAGTTGCTAATACGACCTATGATAAAAAGTAAATTAGGTACAAAATTTTTGACTCACCAAAATAGGATAGATAACATAGTACTTTCTCCAAATTTGCTAAATACAAATGGACTGGATATTGTAAATATAATTCTTACCTGATAGTTATTCTTATTGTATATAGTTTTACTGTTAGAGTAGTTCCTTTTTTTAGACAAAAATGGGGAAATGTTGTGAAATATTCCTTTATACTGTGTGAAGATATATCACTGTGATTGGTTTAATAAAAAGCTAAATGACCAGTAGTTAGTCAGGAGGAATAGCAGAGACTTCTGAACAGACAGGGCTTGTGAAATAGAAAGGCAGAGTCACCAGTGGAGGCAGAGGGAACAGACATACAAGAGGAGAGATAAAAGTCACAGGTCATAGCAACATGTAAATTAATAAAAACAGTAATTAACTATGTCTTAAGTTATAAGAGCTAGTGGGACAAGCCTAAGCTATAGGTCAAGTTTTTGTAACTAATAATAAGTCTTTGTGTCAGTTTTGTGTGTGTGTGTGAGTTGGTGCCCCCCCCAAAAAAGTATATCTACAATGAGGCACATACAAGGCATCCAAGCTATAATTTTAGTCTATAAATGTGGTTTGTTTTGTTTTGATTTGATTTCAAGATAAGGTTTCTCTGTATAACAGCCCTGGCTGTCCTGGAACTCGTTCTGTAGACCAGGATGAGCTCAAATTCACCGATATCCATCTGTTTCTGCCTCCCAAACACTGGGATTAAAGGCATGTGCCACCATTGCCTGGCATGTTTTGTTGTTTACATGATGTAAAATACCATTTTTGACACTGTGTCAGGACCATTACAGGTGGGGGGAACATACTATTTTCAACAATAGTTCTAGAGAAACTTGATGCATGCAGAAAAACTGAAATTAGAGCCTTACTAAATACCATATATCAAAATAAAGTAAAAATGGGTAAAAGATGTACCCATAGGTAAAGCCAAAAGCTATAATGCTCTCAGAGGGTGGCCCAGGACAATGTTCTATGGCAAGTAGATTTTGGCAAAGATTTGCTGAGTGTGATTCCAAAGGTATAAGTAAAAAGAAAAAAAAACAGACTAATAGGTGATAATAACTTAAAAAGACTCTTCAGTAGGGGAAAGCAACAACTCACAGTAAACTGTACACCTGCTGGGAGATTAAAATCCACATAGATACTGAGTTCTGGAACTCAGCAGCAAAATCTAAATTCAAAACTGAGCAAGGACGTTGGGGGAACATAGTCCAAAGACTGCATGAAATTGGTAAGCACATGAAAAGGCAACAAACATCACAAAAACACTGGGATGAAAAGCTAAACCTCAGTGATATGTGACATTACTCCTACCAGTAGCAACCATCAAAGAAACAAAGCTAAGCAGGCTGGTAAAGATGCAGTAACACTGGAGATTTTGTACAATGATTATAGAGCTATAAAACCATACAACCACCATGGAAAATCATATGCCAATTCCTTAAAAAATATAACAAAATTACTGTAACATCCTGCAATTTCACTTCAGAGTTAACACACAGAAGAACTGAAAGCAAATCTAAAAAAAAAAAATATGGACACCCATGTTATTTAGCAGTATTATTCATAGTAACTAAAACTAGAAAGTAACTCAAGTCTATTGACAAATGAATTAATAAGTAAACAGCAGTATATAATACAGGGAAATAGGCTGGGCCTTTTGGTGTACAGCTTTAATTCTATAACTCAGGGGTCTGTGTATATAGTGAGTTCAAGGTCAGCCAAAGCTACATAAATGAGACACTTTCTTAAAAACAACAAGGAATTGCACTATTTGGGGACCGGACTGGAGAGATGTCTCAGTAGTTAAGAGCTCTGGCTGCACTTCCAGAGGATACAGGTTCAATTTCTAGTGACCACAGCCATCTGTAACTCTAGTCCAAGGGGATAAGACACCTTCTCCTGTTCTTTGTGGATATTATATGCTTGTGATGCAAACACATACATAAAGGTAAAACTTCCATACACATAAAAATAAAAAATAATTTACAAAATAATAATACAGTGAAATAGTCAAAAAGAAAGGAAATTATGACTACAACATTATATAAAATTAACTCTGAGGTCACTGTACTAAAAATCCACTAAAAATTATATTTTATAGGAGATACATAAAGCAGTCAAAACAATGATGGCATTGAGTAAAATGGTAGCAGAAGTTTGGATATGGAGAGTGATTTTTAAATTTTTTTAATTGCCAGATGGTTTATGGGTATAGTGTCTCAGTTTTACAAAAGAAAAAGAGATACAGAGGTGGACAGAGGTAATAATTTATACTATGAATAAATCTAAGATCACACTCAAAATAGTTCAATTGTATTTTAATCACACTATAGAGATGGAGAAGAAAGGCTAACGATATACCTCAGGAAATTAATCTATTACTTTTCCTTGACCAGCTGCTTCAAGCTGAAGCTGCCTGACTTGAGTGGCTTTTGTCAGACTGTTTTAACACAGCAACAGGAAAAGAAACCAAGGCAGCATCTTTCAAATTTTACTTGACTATTTTAGATGACAATATATAGACTAATCTAGCACAACCTTAAAACTTTTAAAGTTAACTTAGCTTTGAAATGATATGGGATTTCCCTCTGTATGCTATGATTACTATTAATGAATAAAGAAACTGCATTGGACCTATAGCAGGGCAGAAGTTAGATAGGCGGAAAAAACAAAACTGAATGCTGGGAGAAAGAAGGCAAAGTCAGAGAGAAGTCATGTAGCCCTGCCAGAGAAGACGCCGGAACTTTATCCAATAAGCCATAACCACATGGTGATACACAAATTAACAGAAATGGGTTAAATTAATATATAAGAGTTATCCAATAAGAAGCTAGAGCTAATGGGCCAAGCAGTGATTTAATTAATATAGTTTCTGTGTGATTATTTCGGTTCTGGGCAGCCGGGACAAATAAACGGCTCCTTACTACATTGAAAGACCATTGTTAGTAAACATCATTTGATATTTAAATACTACCAAACAAATAGATCAAATATTTTATGTTTACATAATAAAGTGATATGTTTCCCCTTCATTTCTATTTGCTGACTATCTTACATTCATAATAAAGCATATATCCAGAAATCAATTGGGATGACTTAAATATATACTAAATGATATTATGACATAAACTTCCATCCAAAAATTCCACAACTCTGCAGGTTGATGTCTATGAATATTAATACTTCAGAATGTCTGTAATATGCACAACTGAGAAGTCACAGCAATCTGCTGCTTCTATCGGAGCTCAGAGTAGTTTGATTTCTTAGGATCATGTTTTCAGGTTTTGCATGTACTTCATTTTATTGTGATGGATTGTATTAATGTAGTAAAATGCTAATTGTACAACCTATAAAACAAAAACTTTATATTCAGGGGAAAATATTAATATAATAGAGCATTACTTCTTATCAATGAGTCAGTAATTAAGTAGCATATTTTAAAACCTAACTAAGTATTTAGACAAACAGAAAGTACAATCAAAAGCATTCTACTTCATACAACCTAATCCAAGGAAACAATATTTTCCTCCAAGACAAGAATTTCTTTAAGGCTATTAGAAACCCCCACTTTAAGAACAAGTAATAGTGATTCTATCCTCAACCAGTCAGAGCAGAATGAAAAAGATGTTAATGTTATAGCAAAAACATTACAAGCATCCTTTTCAATTAACCATCACACAGCCCAGAGGGACGTGCTATTAGTACCTTCATTCTCAACATATGAAGAAGCTGAAGCATTCCTGAATAGGCCAAACCAGGCCAAAGCGGTCAAAGCAGGACCACACAGAATGCAGAGCCCACATGACTAGCCACCATGAACGAGCTACTTAACTGGACAACCAGTGTTTACATCCTTACTTCATCACCTATTGTTCCGAGATACTAGCCATACCTCAGAGTAATATAGCTCTATAGGAATGTTGTAAGTATTGAATATGTTAAAATATATAAGGCCATGACAGTGTCTCATACAAGGAAAGTACCAAATAAATGTGAGCTAATTCTCCTCCTCTTTCCCTTCCTACCCTTCACCACGCCTCTGGTTTGAAAACTACATACATATGTAAGTATGTAAGGTATCAACAAGTTCTGCTTTGTTTCATATTCATAGATTATACTTTTCTTTTAAAAATAATCTCCCTTGGTCATTGGACAGGTAGGAAGTAACTTCAATGGAAAACTGTACGTGACCTGGTAGAAGGAAAAAGGAGCCATGGAGGTTCGCAAAGAGCTAACAGTCGCTCCTCTTCCTCAGGACCGAGCCTCTTGATCCTCCCGCGTTGCCAAAATGTCGCTTTCTAACAAGCTGACTTTGGACAAACTGGACGTGAAGGGAAAGCGGGTCGTGATGAGGGTGGACTTCAATGTTCCTATGAAGAACAACCAGATAACAAATAACCAAAGGATCAAGGCTGCTGTCCCAAGCATCAAATTCTGCTTGGACAATGGAGCCAAGTCAGTTGTCCTTATGAGCCACTTGGGCCGACCTGATGGTGTTCCCATGCCTGACAAGTACTCCTTAGAGCCAGTTGCGGCAGAACTCAAGTCTCTGCTGGGCAAGGATGTTCTCTTCTTAAAGGATTGTGTGGGCCCAGAAGTTGAGAATGCCTGTGCCAACCCAGCAGCTGGCACTGTCATCCTACTGGAGAACCTCCGCTTTCATGTGGAGGAAGAAGGGAAGGGAAAGGATGCTTCTGGGAACAAGATTAAAGCTGAACCAGCCAAAATTGATGCTTTCCGAGCCTCACTGTCCAAACTTGGGGATGTCTATGTCAATGATGCTTTTGGTACTGCACACCGAGCCCACAGCTCCATGGTGGGTGTGAATCTGCCACAGAAGGCCGGTGGATTTTTGATGAAGAAGGAGCTGAACTACTTTGCCAAAGCTTTGGAGAGTCCTGAACGACCCTTCCTGGCAATATTGGGAGGAGCTAAAGTTGCAGACAAGATCCAGCTGATCAAGAATATGCTGGACAAAGTCAATGAGATGATCATTGGCGGTGGAATGGCTTTTACCTTCCTTAAGGTGCTCAACAACATGGAGATCGGAACTTCTCTGTATGATAAAGTCAGCCATGTGAGCACTGGGGGTGGTGCCAGTCTAGAGCTCCTGGAAGGTAAAGTCCTTCCTGGGGTGGATGCTCTCAGCAATGTTTAGTATTTTCCTGCCTTTTGGTTCCTGTGCACAACCCCTAAGTCAACTTAGTGTGTTTTCCGCATCTCCATTTGGTGTTAGTACAAGATTCAGCTAGTGACCGAGATGCAGCACCAGGAACCCTTAAACAGTTGCACAGCATCTCAGCTCGTCCTTCCTTCATCGGGATTTGTCTACATTCTTCAAGATCCCATTTAAATTCCATAGTGACTAAAGCCATGGTGCATTCTAGAGTGCATCTATTTCTATTCTGCCTGTAGAAGAAAGTGAGCTATGAAAGCTTAGTCCTCTTCGAGTAGCCTCTGGTTGGCTTTGTCACTGTTCATGACTCAGCATGGAAATAAGATGAAATTCCAGCTGTAGGTTTGGAGAAGTTGATGATCTATTAATAAAGATGTCCGCCGGGGAGGGGGGGAAGAGCTAACAGTCTCAGCTCTTGGCTTACTAAACAGGATGAGGCTGGAAAAAAATAACCTTGCTTTCCTAACATCACAAATAATACCTTTGTCAAAAAAAAGAATGAGTATATATAGAGAACTATAAAGAACCGCAAAAATAGGTTAAAATAACAACACTGAACGAGAACTCACAATTTGGCTTTAGTTTCTTATAAACCAATATGCTGTCTGCTCACATAGGTTTCCCTGCCTGAAATTTCTTGTTCTCTAACCCTATCCTTGCTTCAAAATAAAGCTGAAGTGCTCAAAAACTATTACCTAATCAGTCCAGTAGAAATAAATCATATTTAAGCCCCATGAGCATTTATCACTTTATTGCATTATGTTTCTGTCCTGACTCACCGACTAGATTATAAATTCCATCAAATCAGCAACTCATTACATCTCTTTGTATTCAATCCATGTGTGAACACAACTAGCTTTCTTGCATAAAAGATAGGAAGAGAAAGAGCTCTAAAGAGCCCTGCAAAAGGAAGCAGAATTCATTGATTCTCTAATCCACTTAGTAATGGGAGTCAGGCACAGCATGGGTGCAGAATACTTAACTTGCAGACCCTATGCTCAGTAGAGACAAAGCTGAGCAAGGTATAGAGGCCATGGTCTTTATCAGGACCTAGATATGAAGTCTGAGCTGAATGAGAAACAGATCTGGAAGACACGGAAGGTGGTGAGCTGATTCCAGAAACTTAGATTACCACAGGAAAAGGCTTAAAAACGCTCACATCATCCTTTCATGACCAATCACAGTCCTGGGACCAGACTAGAACTTCCAAAGGAGTGAGACTGGGAATTACACAGTTTAAAATAACAGAGGCATTGAATTTTTATATCCAAATGCACATAAATGTCAATTTTTCTATGTGATCCCCAAATAAATATTAAGATGCTTGTCAGCAAACATTTATTAATTTAATAAATATTAACACATTATCATTACATTGTTAAATGATTTCATGTCAATCAGGTGGTCTTTGGATGGAGGTGGGTGGTCTTTGGACTTCCCACAGGGCAGGGAACCCTGATTGCTCTTTGGGCTGACGAGGGAGGGGGACTTGATTGGGGGAGGGGGAGGGAAAGGGGAGGCGGCGGTGGGGAAGAGACAGAAATCTTTAATAAATAAATAAATAAATAAAATGGAAAAAAATCAGGTGGTCTTGTTAAGCATACAGTACTCTCCCCAATTACAGAAATAAATTATGTACAATTTACTATCCTCTAGGTGCGTGTCTTTAATCCCAGCACTCAGGAGCTAGAGTTCAAGACCAGCCTGGTCTATAAGAGCTAGTTCCAGGACAGATTCCAAAGCTACAGGGAAAAAACCCTGTCTTGAAAAAAATAGTGTGTGCAAGTGTGAGTGTGCGCGTGCGGGCACACTCTCGCACACACGCACGTGCGCGCGCGCACACACACACACATTGAATAAGATACCCAAACCCTGATCTAAGGTGGACAAGTCAGTACATTCACATCAGCAAGTTCTCTCCTTTTCTGTCTCCTCCTCTTAAAGAAAATGGGAAGGCTGTTGACATATGATTTTTAGTAATTGTTTGACAAAGGAGGTGGCCTGGCTAGCAATGAAATTCTGGATCCGCAGAGAAAGGGTGAGGAGCACAGCCACAAAACTTTGCCTCTGTCATCTACATTTCCAAGTAGGATGAGAACTATATACTGTACACACAAATTGGAATCTGCAGTGTAACTTTTAGTAAATGATTCCTCACATCCTGTACCAGGTGTATTAACATAAGAATGCTCTCCCATAGCACCTGTAATGGGGTGAGTGGATTCATCATAGGAAATATGTATCAAAACACACAAACATGTGAAAGCATGGTATTTCAATAAAGATTGATTCACAGACAGATTATTGTACAATCACAGGATGAGGAGTGAAAGATCTATATAGGTAGAAATGTAGTCATTCTTCAAAATCTTTTGTTCTTGTATTTTCTTAAAGAAAAATGTTATATTACCAAGAAAAGGCATAACCAGTTAGGATATATATTTATAATTTTAATCATAAGAATCTATACCCAAGGCTACTTAATAAGATGCCTTTTCAAAATGAATCATAAGACACCAGTTAGGATCAGCAAGGCTGTATCAAAATAACCATTTTATTATGGGAATATAAAATCTATACTGCATAAATCTATATGACACATTTTCAACCAAATTCATTAGTTTCAACTAGACTTCAACAGAAATAAAATTAGGAAGACTACAAAAATAAAGTCTTCTAACCTTCATTGGCCCCTCATCTTGAAACGTATAGTCCCAATTTGTGTCAGGCAATCACTGAGAACAGAGGGTAGCCACAAAATAAGCCAAAGGCAGCGCCTATCAAAGCATGCCCTAAGCCAAAGTTCTGGAAAATGAAGACCGCTATTTCTTCACAATTTCTCAGCTAACACAGAATCATAAGAACAAACGCAAGACGGAAACTTCAAACCTTTCTACCATGGAAGAATACACCTTGAATTCTTTGTGCATGAAAGCAGCTTCAAAAGGAAAGGAGGAAGTCCTTTTGTTCTAGGTAAAAGATCGTACCTGTAGACCTAGAGAATCTGACACTCTTTATACACAACCACTTTATACTGAAATGAGAAAGTTAGGTTTTTTATAAAGAAAACTATAAAACTTTTCTTCGGTCTAAAATGTACTTGTCCCTTCATGGCCAGTGTGAACCTGCTCCTTCTTAATATATTTCCACTTCTGTGTCACCTGAAATTCTTTTTTCCACAAAGAATTTGCATCTTTAGGGTATGGTTTTATGCAGACAGTCAGTAGCTCTAACCCAGACTCTCATCTTAGACACACTGCATCCCCGCTCTGGGCCTGCGTTCCTTCATCTACAGATGGACAGATAGTATTTCTTTTATAAGTCTGACATGAAGATTCACTCAAATAGTAGATGAAACAAGAGCAGCTGTAAAGCATGTCTCCATCAAAATCTGGTATTATGAAGATGTTATTGGTTATTACTGGATACTTACAGGAATCCTGATTTCAAAACTATTTTGAATCAGGAGCCCTTTCAAAACACAAATCCACTTATCTATACACATGTCCGTTCCTATGATGAACTACTTATGTGTGAACTCTTAATTCAACTTGAACAAATGCTGAGTTAGCTCACTAATCATTCAATGAGTCTGATCAGCAAGAAAGATACTTCCTGATCACATACATCAATTAATTTAATGGGGTATCATCTTAAAGAAAGCATTTGGGTCTCTCTCAAGCTTTCAGTTTGGCATAAACTGAATTTTTAAGTCCACAAAATTATTATAAGAATTATGCCTCTGACATTTGTTGTCCAACTGCCTACCATGTTTTAAAGATATTGCTTTCTTTTCAATTGCTGGAAATTTTTTAAACTGTCATATTGCCTTTCATGTCATATAAGAGTAAGTTCACATATCCAGTACTGTAAAGAATTATAACTACCTAAAATATATAGGTATTCACAGTATCTGCGGCAATTGTATTCAAAAGTCCAAAGTATTGGAGTCATCAAATAATTGCAACTTTTACTTCCCCTGCAGGTGGAAATGGACAAGTCTAATCAGCCTTTCCACCACAGAAAAAACACAGGCAATATTAAAATATTAAAAACTATTTAATGAGG